CGTTCCTTGGAAGAGGCGGAGAGGTGGGCGTTTGTCATCTGCTGGTGGACTAACCGGAGAGAATTACAGTGCTTGCCTCGACGGGGAGGGATTGCATTGAATTAAAGCAGCAGGAGCAAACGCTTGCCTCGGGGAGGGAGAAAGAAAGCCACAGCGGAGAATAAACAGAAGGGCAACCATGGCAACCATGCGCGGGAAGTCTTCTTCGCTGCTTTTGTGGCAGACTACAGCGCCACTTACAGGCCTGGCATATGTACTACAGAGTCTCCAGCGCTTTCGAGCGGCAATGGCCGGCCGTGGCCCAACCCCACATTCCCCTGATAGGTGGAGAGTTGGCCCAATAACCGTAGCGCCACCGTCCTGACGTCAGGACAGTGTTCAAATCTGGATCAGTTTTGATCAGATCCGTTGCAGCCCCTTTTTTAGAGATTTGGGTATGGAGGAAAATAGAGAGGGTTGTGTTTTCTGACACTTGGTGAGTTCCCTGGAACACCGGGGACACATATTCATGTATAAAAGACGTACAAAAGTGCATTTTGCATGATAGGTCCCCTTTAATATTATGAAAGATTTACATTTGAAGGACATCTGGAGAGAATTAAAGCCTGATGCTGTAGTATTCTTGTATTCTGCTTCTTACAAATCGTATTCCCGTATTGATTACTTTTTGATATCAGTAAATGTGGCTTCTAAAATCAAAGACGGCACTTATGATGGAATCCTTATTTCGGACCATGCACCAAACTCACTGCTTCACTCAAGGCTGGTGAGAGATTCTTCTAAATGGCAAATCCAACAAAAATGGTTGCAAGACTCAGATTTTGTCACGTATATTGGCAAACCAATTTATTTAGATTGTGTCCCATATCTTGGCAAACCAATTGATTTAGATTTTGAGACAAATACATTGGAAACATCAGCATCTATAAGATGGGAAGCTTTTAAAGCATTTATATGAGGCCAAATTATTAACTACACAAGCTCTAAATCCCAAAAAGCTGGTCATAAAATGACAATGTTGGAATCAAAAATAAAAACCCTGGAGAGTGAGGCCTTTCAGAAACCCTGCCCTAAAGTACAACAAGAACTGCTAGTACTGAGGTCCCAGTATCATGAATGATCAGCTTCTAAAGCAGTGGCAAGTCTACTAAGACTCAAACAAACATTTTACGATCAAGGAGAGAAGCCTGGAAAGATATTAGTGTGGCGCATTAAACAATTACAAATTGAAAGATCCATTACGTCAATACAGAACAATAAGGGAGATAATATAGTCGATCCTATAGAAATAAATTAGGCTTTTAAAAATGTCTATAAAAATCTATACGACTGACATAAATTCAGATCTGACAAGTCAAAATAACATATACCTAGTATCCCAGCAGAACTCAGACCTAGTCTGGAAGGTGAATTATCATTAGAAGAGATCTCTAATGCAATTGATTACATGAAATCTGGGAAAGCTGTAGGGCCAGATGGCCTACCTATAGATATCTACACAAAGTTTAAATATAAAATACAAACTCCCCTCTTAACACTAGAACCGCCAGAGATTTTTTAAACCTAAAACCGCCACCTGGGTCAAATTGACCCGCTATTAGAATGCATTGATTTTCAAGGTAAAATGTTCTTTTATTGAGCAGTGAGTTTTGATCGCACAGGGATGAAACGTATACCAATATAATCTGTGGACTCTCAGGGCTCGACATTATAAATGGCCCGCTGGCCCGGAAGCATTATTTAGACACCGCGGCCAGCATAACGTACTTTCAACTCGCCCCACAGCTGTTTGCTGCGGAGCGCAGCGCGAGCAGTCTCCCGTGAGCGGGAGCGCACTCCTTCACTACAGACTGTCTCTATCTCTCTCTCTCTCTCTATCTATAACTATCTATCAATATATCTATCCATCCATCTCTCTCTCTCTCAATCTATCTCTCAATCTATAAGGAACCGCAGTAGACAAAAGGCGTTGCTATAGCAACACGTCATGTTTATATGAAAAGGGGTGGGGTCAATATTACCCGATGGACGGAAATAGGTATAAATGGCAATTTTTTGGGCGATTTCTTCAATCTGACTTCATATTGACAATTTTTAACAACATAGGGTGCTACATAACACACTTTCAGGAAAAGTCACGGACTGGAAGACTTTAATATTTTATTGAAAAAAAGTTACACGCAATAAAAAACAGCTCTGGGTCAAATTGACCCGATTGGCGGTTCTAGTGTTAACAGGTATGTGTTGCTAGAATCTTTAAAAAATGAAATTCTTCCACCATCACTGAGAGAAGCCTTCATTACATTGTTACCAAAACCAGGGAAACCCTGCAATAGATGCGAAAATATAAGACCAATAAGCCAGGTGAATTCTAATTACGATCCTATGATGGAATCAATTACAAGCACAAGTGATAGATGGAAGCATATGCTGATCTCTTTAATTGGGAGAATTAATATATAAAAAGTTAACATACTCCTCAAGTTGCTGTATCTATTCCAAAACATCCACCTGCCTCCTCCAAACCTATTTTCAAAGTTAAGGAAATTATTTTTGAATTTTCTGTGGAACAACAAACGAGCCCGTCTTCGCTTGGCCTTCCTGTATATGCCCTATGATAGCCTGTCCTAACCCTCTCTGGTACTACTGTGCAACTCAGTTTAGGACTATTATGTTTTATTTTACAAACGACAACCCCCCTGCCTGGAGAGGGATGGAGTCCCAATGTTTAGAGTTACCTCTTCCCATGTATTTGTACTCAACTAGTGTGAAGAAACTTAAAAAAAACAACTAACCCTATTACTGGGAACATGATTAGAGTCTGGCATGAAGTGAGGAAGTACTTGGGCGAACCTCTCTCTCTCACGTTTTAGTCCAATTTGGGGAAATTATGACATTACTCCAGGCAGAGCTGATAGTGGGTTTAAGATTTGGTCAGATAAGGGGGTACAGAGAATTCAGGATCTATATAGGCTCAATGATGATAAACTGATGTCGTTTGAGGAGCTTACAATCAAGCACAACATTTCACGGAAGCATTTTTTCAAATGTTTACAAATTAGAAGCTATATTGGAGCAAACCAAAAACAATTACTAACTATACCTCCATACTCACCACTAGAGAAAATAATGTTAAGGGACTGTAGGGGAAAAACTTAATTTTTGCACTTTATAACTTGCTTATATCTGGCTCCCCTGAGTCCTCTGAAGCTAAACTTAGAAATTGGAGGTAGGATTTGCAGGAAGACAATTGATGAGTGGGAAGGTGCCTTTAAGAAAGCTCAATCACAAACAGTGAATACCCGTCTTAAGCTCTTACAATATAACTGGCTGATGCGTATATATATTACTCCAGAAAAGTTAAATACATTTAGTGGTAATATCCCAGACACATTTAAAACATACGTTTTAAATGTATGTTTTAAATGTGGAAAATGTAAGGGAAAAGGTTTTCATTGTGTTTGGGAGTGTACCAAGATAAAAACGTTTTGGGAAGAGGTAAAATTTATGATAGAAGATATTTTATCAATGCAGTTAACCATGGAGCCCAAGTTTTTTTTGTTAGGGTGTTACCCAAAAGAACACAACATAAGGAAGAAAGAACAAATATTTTTAAATGTATGTCTGCTACAGGCAAAACGCATGATAGCACTTTCATGGAAAAATGTAACAGTCCAAGTATTGGAAAATGGCTAAAAGAACTGTCTGCATGTGTCTCATTAGAGAAAATAACCTATTCAATTAAAGGAAAACAAGAACTATTAAAAAAAGTATGGGGCCCTTTCCTTAACTATCTGGAACATGCAGATCTAGAGAGTACTCTGGGTCAGCAAACTGGAGATGATTAATGTCCCTCTGCTGGAGGAAGGATGGAAGCCTTTCATATCTGCCTACACAAGGACCGATACAGGAAAACATTCCTGCCCACTGCAATAACACTCTACAACAAATCACCTCTGGCTGGCAGAGAACTCTCTGCTCCATAGCTTCTCTTGATTACTGGACTTAGACTCCCACTGTACATTTTACATTCATATTCTATTTCATTTTGAATAATACCTTTCTTGCATAATAATATTCTGCATTATATGTGTCACGGGCCGTCTCCACGGCAGCGTTAAAAAATCTTGAAACGCTTCTGCCCATTCACTTTGAATGGGGTGACGTCACTTTTTTTCGCTTTCGCCGAAATGCATTGTGGGCAGGCGAGCGGAGATTCTCAGGATTTTCAAGATCCAAAGTTGAACAATGTTCAACTTTTGAAGCTGAGGAGGAAGCGTCAGCCAATCAAATCCCGTGTACGCAAATCTGACAGTTCAAGCTCTAGCCAATCAAACGGCGTGTATGCTGGGAGAGAAATACCGCAGGTCATTTCCTCATATTCCAAAACATGGAGGAGAAATTAGCGGTAGCGAATCAATCACCCGGTGCTTTATGACCAGACCTACCGGGATATAAACCGGAGGAGCCAGGCATGGAGGGAGGTGGCAGAGACAGTGGTATGTTTTCGCCTGTTTTGGGGAGTTTATATCCAGTTTACTTCAGGCTTTTTGGCTTCATATGTCGCGGGCGGGAGATTCATGTGATTGGTTGATCGCAAAAAAATCCCCAAGCCTCAGATACGCCCACCTCCAAGATTTTTTTAACGCTGCCGTGGAGACGGCCCGTTACTGGAAATTTGTATTTCCACTTGTATATTTTCCACATGTATATATATTGTTTATTTTTTGTTTTATATTCTTAAACTTTACATTTTTTAATGCTATTTTATTTCTATTTCTGAAATATTTTGGACTGTTTATTTCTTGTGTCTTAATTTCTCTTATGTACATTGCCTTGTGTTTTTTATGCTGCTGCAACGCAAACGTGACTTGTAATGTACTTCATTTTGTTATGTCTTGTGGATGTTTGTGTACTGTCTTATATATTGTCTATATATGCTAACAAATTAAAGAAAGTGTTTAAAAAAAAAATCATCAATCATCAATTTATCAGCTTACCTTATACTTCCATTTTGCTTCAGTCTTGTTTTTATTCTGCTCTCTGAATTCAAACTTTTCTGCGTTGTTCTGCTTTGATATTTCCTTCTCTGATATACTCAGGACGTTTTTCACAGCCTGAAGGGAGACACAATTATCAAAAGTGAAAAGTGACTGTGGGTTCTTTCTCTTTTCTGCATGTTTGGAAGCAAAATAAAGATATTTATAAAGCGTTCTGCTTAATGGAATACAAAATGGCCTAAGTGAAGTCACAACTAAGGATACAAATAATCATTCCACAAAATAAGAACAATATCATTAACAGTTACATTACCACACACTCACCTTCGTCTTTTTCGGCTGGTCCATTTTGCTCAAGATGTCTTTGGCATGGGACTCAAGAGCTGCAAAGCTGGAGGGTTTGGGAGGCGGCGACGACGACGACGACTCTTGCAATTTCTTCGCTTTCTTCTTTCCTCCTTCCTTGACCTTGGGCACCTTTGGAGGCTTGGGGGCCTTAGGCATCTTGGGGGGTTTGGGAGGCTTCGGAGGCTTGGGGGGTTTGAAAGCTTTCTTTCTGGCCTTCTCTCTGCTGGGCGAGGGGACATGGGCCGGTGAGACGGGCTCTTCAGGCTCTTCAGGATCCGAGTGTGTGGATGGGGGTTCCTCCACTGGAACCTTGATGCTGGGCTCACTCTTAATAGCTTTTGTTGCATTCTAAAGGAAACACAGGGAACGTAAAGGGTATACATTTTAATCTGCAGTTAAATCCCTCTTGAGACTATTTAAGTTCCCCTGAACTAGTGCTGAAATGATATGTCAATTTATTTATTTTAAGATCACAAATAAATGGGTGAAAAAGTGAAAAATCAATGCAGTGTAAAAATAGATGGATTAAACCATATTTGATCGTGTTTGATACCTTTATTCAGTTTTTATTGTGCTGATGGTTTGGGTGTTTTACTGGTGTGTAGAACCTCGGCCCTGTGAGCCAATAGGAAGAGAGTAGAGGCGCTAACATTTTCATTAACTTTAAATAAGGTTTGTGTGACAGCAATATTATTTGCAGAAGTAAAAGGCTAACATGGTTGAGTTTTGGTACAGTGTCGGTTTTGTGAGCCTGCGACATGAGCTGTGTCAAACTCAAGGCCCTTTTTTATGTGGCCCGGAAGAGTTTGCAAAGAATATAATATACAATACAATAGGTGTAATTGTTGAATGTATGCTTTCAATGATTTTCCCTAGACGTGTGCTTTCAGACATAGTTATTTATGAAGTTACTACCGGAACTGATAATAATCACATTTAAAGGTGCCATGTCATGGCCATTTCTACTCATCATAATTCCATTGTTGAGGTCTACTAGAATAGATTTATATTGTGCTATTTTCCAAACTCACATTGGTTTCTCATACAGCATCTCTGTATAGTATGTGTATTCACTCTCTGTCCTACACGCCTTGTTGGAGCTCCTGCCCCCCCCTCCCTATGAGCCCAGTGGCCGTCTGCGAAACAGCGAGACACAGCGAAACCCAGCCCGAACACACACTGGGTGGCTGGGAGTTTGTGTGTGTGCTCACACACAGACTCACAGCCGCGCCAAGTCGCGCCGTCTCAGGGAGGAGAAATTGGCGGAGCTGCAGCTGAGAAAAGATTGAGTGTGTGTGTGTGAGGAAGTCCGCGGATTGGTCAATTTGGACCAATCTACGGACTTAACGTAACGGCTCCGCGGACGTAACGTAACGGCTCCACGGATTGGTCCATTTGGACCAATGGGTCCATTTGGGTATGGGCACGTCACTGTACCCAGGAAGAAAAAGAGAAATGTCCAACGAGGCGTTCTGGGGCAGCATAGACAGGTCTTTTCTGTGTTAGAGTTTTACTCGCTACAGGGTGTACTTTGAGGGTTTGTGACTCTGCACACCGTTTACATGCATAAAAACCTTCATAACACACAAGGGGACGGGTAATAACCGGAAAAGCATGACATGGGACCTTTAATATATATTATATATTAATATATGTATATTTATACAGTCTTAAAGTTACAACCGGCCCTTTGAGTGCAACCATAATGTGGACTGCAATGAAATTGAGTTTGACGCCCCTGTATTAGACCATGACTATAAAACCATGTGTCACACATTATACCTTAAGATACCAGGTGGTCTTGACCATGTGTAACGACATAGTTCACGATGTGGTTGATTGACCCGTTTTGTTTATGTTTATGTGTCAGTGGCCAGTGAGTGTACATAACCTTTAAATAATGAAGATTATGGATTTTATAGGCCACATATAAGAAAATGATTTTTATTATAACTCTTTCCGCAAATCATTATTATATATTATTATTATTATTATTATATAGCTACAGTCTATGGTCAACAGATTGAGCAGATGAGAGAATATTTTCCCGCTGCAGTGACAGCTTAGGGCAATATAAAACATTGCAACTGAATACGAACAACGCGATTTAAAAGGTCAGTGTTTGTGTGTTTGCCTGGGACAGACCACTTCTCTGTCATGAGTGTACACAGTAGATTTATTTTAGCGGTTGAGATATCTTTGGACTGGCTCTCAGATCGCACATCCCAACAATGGCTTCTTCTCGATGTCAAAAATGAAATATGATACCTCTGAGAGTCGGATCTCTTTTGCAAGATCTTTGATGAGCTGTGATGGTTTCATGTTCTCTGGAAGCTCATCTTCGTGTTCTAATAGGGCCTGTTGGGAGGAGAACAAAGCGCTTATACTTTCCACCACAGCATGGATGGTCAGAGACACATATAGTGATGTGCGTGTGTTCATACCTGTTTCTTAGTCCAAGCTCTGAAGGCTCCGTTAATGATTTTGGCACCATGTATTAGGTATGGGGCTGGTTGCTTATTTGCTTTATGTAAACCTGCAGAAAAAGAAATGCAAATGTTATCATTGGGAAAACTGTGCAATTTTCACTGTACGCTAATGCAGTTTTGCATGTTTCATCTAAATCTTCCTAAAATGCCCAAACAACACAATGATGATGTCTCTCACTCCACATTCAGAGTGATGTATTGCACTATAAGAGGACTGGGCATATTAAAGAGAGCTTGTGTGTTCTTGCATTAAGAAGCTGCAGTGCAGCCGACTGGACGCCTTGTCCAACATGTGGCCTCTTGTTCCAATAAAGTTTTAAAAAGATCAGATAACAAGAATGTTTAACGGCCAATAATCATTTTTTTAGACATGAACAGATTACATAAACAACATGTATGATCTTTTCTCAAGAATTGTAATTAAGATATGTATGGAGTAGAAGTAGGTACTGTCAGGGCTCTCTGCAGATACTGATATCTGTGGGAGGCTCTTGATAGGGCCTTTCAGTCACTAACACCCCTCCTCATCAACTTCCTCATCACATACATGACTATTTTAGTTATGTTTTGTGTTGTGTTTATTATTTATTATTTTGGTTAGTATTTTTTTGAAAAATACTAACCATCCCTGGTTTAAAATAAGCTTTTGTAGAATTCCTCTTTAAATTCAGTTTTATGGCAAAACAGCATTGTCTTAATCAAGTCCCTCTCAGACCATTCAAAAACCAGTGTGGACTGGGCTGACTGGCACCTCTCTAATGTCTGCACCTACACCTGTATTCCAATGCATGTGTGTATTTGTACTGTGTGTGTATTCCAAAACATATATAAACAGAGTGGAAAACTGAATTTCCCCCTAGGGGGATCAATAAAGGTTCATCTTAATGATTTATAGTACCAGCAGCCTTTTTCCAGCACTGCAAAAGCTGTTGTTATATGGTGTGTTACACGTTGTGTGCACCACACACAAAACCAGTCTGGCTTTACCACTTACACATCCACAGAGCAGAGAGGAAACATAAGCCAGAAGGCAGTGATGGAGGGGATTGGGCCAAACATGTTGCAGTGAGGGAATTCATGTTAGAGCATTGTGCTCTTCATCTGTGCAGCAGACATGCTCACACACTTATCTCTGAGAGTGAGAAAGTACATTCAAATATAAAAAATGAGATCTAGTAATACATCCAACTGTGTTGATAGGTTACCCTTGAATCGCTCGAGGAGATGTCGTCCGACATACCAGCACGCCGTCTCGAAGTTGGGGAAGGGGGTGAGAGTTTTGACCTTTAGCCGTTTCTCTATTTCATACGCTCTGAGCAGAATAAACAAAGATGTTTCAGCTCAACATTAACATGCATTATCAACAATCTTATTGCAACAAACAATTTCAATTCATAATCAGATTGGTGGAATTTGGAGCTAAAAACAAGTCCTTAATGAGGAGACGCCAGAAAAGCTCAGCCAAGGACAAATCTGAAATGTCAAGTCACACCGATCCCCCAAATTAGGACATGACTGTCTGCAGGAGCCATGGCGACAGCAATTAGAATAAAGAATACATATAAACCTGACGATGACAAGGCAGCGTAAAGGATGAGTGAGTCCTCACCTCATCTGCATCTCCACACTCAGGTTGTGAACGAAGTGTCCCGAGAACGCCAGGCAGTCCACCGGGGTCAGGATGGCATTGATCCAACCTGAGGACACAATCACAGTTCAAACACCGCAAGAAAACTGTAGGGATATTTATTGTGTCTGTTGAAAGGTAGAAAACATTATTGCATTAAAGGTCCCCTATTATACTGTTTTTCATCAATATATTATAGGTCTCAGATATATACAAACATGTCTCTGAAGTGTTTGTCTGAAACACCAAACAGATCAATGCAGCATCCCATAATCCCCTCTGATTCAGCCCTGTTTCCAAAGTGCTGATTCTCTGTCTGTTACTTTAGATGAAAATAAGGAGCCCCTCCCCACGCCCCTCTGAGAGATATTTGGTTAAAAATAACTCAATGGTGCTCTAGGAGGAGATTCAGGTGATAAGGGGGGGGGGGGGGGGGGTTACCTTGGTTGCTGATTGGCTAATGGTTACACAAGACAACACATCGTTATGACAACATAACGTGGCCAAAATCTGATCAGCTCATTTTCAGACAGGTTTTTATAAAAATGGATCAAAAAGAGAGAGAATCTTTGTTCCTGAAACTTTCAGAGTCTCTTTACACAGAGGGGACACATGTTGATGAAGAAGAGACATGAAGAAGAGGGGACACATGTTGATGTAGAAGAGACATGAAGAAGAGGGGACACATGTTGATGTAGAAGAGACATGAAGAAGAGGGGACACATGTTGATGTAGAAGAGACATGAAGAAGAGGGGACACATGTTGATGTAGAAGAGACATGAAGAAGAGGGGACACATGTTGATGAAGAAGAGACATGAAGAAGAGGGGACACATGTTGATGAAGAAGAGACATGAAGAAGAGGGGACACATGTTGATGAAGAAGAGACATGAAGAAGAGGGGACACATGTTGATGAAGAAGAGACATGAAGAAGAGGGGACACATGTTGATGTAGAAGAGACATGAAGAAGAGGGGACACATGTTGATGAAGAAGAGACATGAAGAAGAGGGGACACATGTTGATGAAGAAGAGACATGAAGAAGAGGGGACACATGTTGATGTAGAAGAGACATGAAGAAGAGGGGACACATGTTGATGTAGAAGAGACATGAAGAAGAGGGGACACATGTTGATGTAGAAGAGACATGAAGAAGAGGGGACACATGTTGATGTAGAAGAGACATGAAGAAGAGGGGACACATGTTGATGTAGAAGAGACATGAAGAAGAGGGGACACATGTTGATGTAGAAGAGACATGAAGAAGAGGGGACACATGTTGATGTAGAAGAGACATGAAGAAGAGGGGACACATGTTGATGTAGAAGAGACATGAGGAAGAGGGGACACATGTTGATGTAGAAGAGAGATGAGGAAGAGGGGACACATGTTGATGTAGAAGAGACATGAAGAAGAGGGGACACATGTTGATGTAGAAGAGACATGAGGAAGAGGGGACACATGTTGATGTAGAAGAGACATGAAGAAGAGGGGACACATGTTGATGTAGAAGAGACATGAAGAAGAGGGGGACACATGTTGATGAAGAAGAGACATGAAGAAGAGGGGACACATGTTGATGTAGAAGAGACATGAAGAAGAGGGGACACATGTTGATGTAGAAGAGACATGAAGAAGAGGGGACACATGTTGATGTAGAAGAGACATGAAGAAGAGGGGACACATGTTGATGTAGAAGAGACATGAAGAAGAGGGGACACATGTTGATGAAGAAGAGACATGAAGAAGAGGGGACACATGTTGATGAAGAAGAGACATGAAGAAGAGGGGACACATGTTGATGAAGAAGAGACATGAAGAAGAGGGGACACATGTTGATGAAGAAGAGACATGAAGAAGAGGGGACACATGTTGATGTAGAAGAGACATGAAGAAGAGGGGGACACATGTTGATGAAGAAGAGACATGAAGAAGAGGGGACACATGTTGATGAAGAAGAGACATGAAGAAGAGGGGACACATGTTGATGTAGAAGAGACATGAAGAAGAGGGGACACATGTTGATGTAGAAGAGACATGAAGAAGAGGGGACACATGTTGATGTAGAAGAGACATGAAGAAGAGGGGACACATGTTGATGTAGAAGAGACATGAAGAAGAGGGGACACATGGTGATGTAGAAGAGACATGAAGAAGAGGGGACACATGTTGATGTAGAAGAGACATGAAGAAGAGGGGACACATGTTGATGTAGAAGAGACATGAAGAAGAGGGGACACATGTTGATGTAGAAGAGACATGAAGAAGAGGGGACACATGTTGATGTAGAAGAGACATGAAGAAGAGGGGACACATGTTGATGTAGAAGAGACATGAGGAAGAGGGGACACATGTTGATGTAGAAGAGAGATGAGGAAGAGGGGACACATGTTGATGTAGAAGAGACATGAAAAGAGGGGACACATGTTGATGTAGAAGAGACATGAGGAAGAGGGGACACATGTTGATGTAGAAGAGACATGAAGAAGAGGGGACACATGTTGATGTAGAAGAGACATGAAGAAGAGGGGACACATGTTGATGTAGAAGAGACATGAAGAAGAGGGGACACATGTTGATGAAGAAGAGACATGAAGAAGAGGGGACACATGTTGATGTAGAAGAGACATGAGGAAGAGGGGACACATGTTGATGTAGAAGAGACATGAAGAAGAGGGGACACATGTTGATGTAGAAGAGACATGAAGAAGAGGGGACACATGTTGATGTAGAAGAGACATGAAGAAGAGGGGACACATGTTGATGTAGAAGAGACATGAGGAAGAGGGGACACATGTTGATGTAGAAGAGACATGAAGAAGAGGGGACACATGTTGATGTAGAAGAGACATGAAGAAGAGGGGACACATGTTGATGTAGAAGAGACATGAAGAAGAGGGGACACATGTTGATGTAGAAGAGACATGAAGAAGAGGGGACACATGTTGATGTAGAAGAGACATGAAGAAGAGGGGACACATGTTGATGTAGAAGAGACATGAGGAAGAGGGGACACATGTTGATGTAGAAGAGACATGAAGAAGAGGGGACACATGTTGATGAAGAAGAGACATGAAGAAGAGGGGACACATGTTGATGTAGAAGAGACATGAAGAAGAGGGGACACATGTTGATGTAGAAGAGACATGAAGAAGAGGGGACACATGTTGATGTAGAAGAGACATGAGGAAGAGGGGACACATGTTGATGTAGAAGAGACATGAAGAAGAGGGGACACATGTTGATGAAGAAGAGACATGAAGAAGAGGGGACACATGTTGATGAAGAAGAGACATGAAGAAGAGGGGACACATGTTGATGAAGAAGAGACATGAAGAAGAGGGGACACATGTTGATGAAGAAGAGACATGAAGAAGAGGGGACACATGTTGATGTAGAAGAGACATGAAGAAGAGGGGACACATGTTGATGAAGAAGAGACATGAAGAAGAGGGGACACATGTTGATGAAGAAGAGACATGAAGAAGAGGGGACACATGTTGATGTAGAAGAGACATGAAGAAGAGGGGACACATGTTGATGTAGAAGAGACATGAAGAAGAGGGGACACATGTTGATGTAGAAGAGACATGAAGAAGAGGGGACACATGTTGATGTAGAAGAGACATGAAGAAGAGGGGACACATGTTGATGTAGAAGAGACATGAAGAAGAGGGGACACATGTTGATGTAGAAGAGACATGAAGAAGAGGGGACACATGTTGATGTAGAAGAGACATGAAGAAGAGGGGACACATGTTGATGTAGAAGAGACATGAGGAAGAGGGGACACATGTTGATGTAGAAGAGAGATGAGGAAGAGGGGACACATGTTGATGTAGAAGAGACATGAAGAAGAGGGGACACATGTTGATGTAGAAGAGACATGAGGAAGAGGGGACACATGTTGATGTAGAAGAGACATGAAGAAGAGGGGACACATGTTGATGTAGAAGAGACATGAAGAAGAGGGGACACATGTTGATGTAGAAGAGACATGAAGAAGAGGGGACACATGTTGATGAAGAATAGACATGAAGAAGAGGGGACACATGTTGATGTAGAAGAGACATGAGGAAGAGGGGACACATGTTGATGTAGAAGAGACATGAAGAAGAGGGGACACATGTTGATGTAGAAGAGACATGAAGAAGAGGGGACACATGTTGATGTAGAAGAGACATGAGGAAGAGGGGACACATGTTGATGTAGAAGAGACATGAGGAAGAGGGGACACATGTTGATGTAGAAGAGACATGAAGAAGAGGGGACACATGTTGATGAAGAAGAGACATGAAGAAGAGGGGACACATGTTGATGAAGAAGAGACATGAAGAAGAGGGGACACATGTTGATGTAGAAGAGACATGAAGAAGAGGGGACACATGTTGATGTAGAAGAGACATGAGGAAGAGGGGACACATGTTGATGTAGAAGAGACATGAGGAAGAGGGGACACATGTTGATGTAGAAGAGACATGAAGAAGAGGGGACACATGTTGATGTAGAAGAGACATGAGGAAGAGGGGACACATGTTGATGTAGAAGAGACATGAAGAAGAGGGGACACATGTTGATGTAGAAGAGACATGAGGAAGAGGGGACACATGTTGATGTAGAAGAGACATGAAGAAGAGGGGACACATGTTGATGTAGAAGAGACATGAAGAAGAGGGGACACATGTTGATGAAGAAGAGACATGAAGAAGAGGGGACACATGTTGATGTAGAAGAGACATGAGGAAGAGGGGACACATGTTGATGTAGAAGAGACATGAAGAAGAGGGGACACATGTTGATGAAGAAGAGACATGAAGAAGAGGGGACACATGTTGATGAAGAAGAGACATGAAGAAGAGGGGACACATGTTGATGTAGAAGAGACATGAAGAAGAGACGACACATGTTGATGAAGAAGAGACATGAAGAAGAGGGAACACATGTTGATGTAGAAGAGACATGAAGAAGAGGGGACACATGTTGATGTAGAAGAGACATGAAGAAGAGGGGACACATGTTGATGTAGAAGAGACATGAAGAAGAGGGGGCACATGTTGATGTAGAAGAGACATGAAGAAGAGGATTTTGCACAATAGGTGACCTTTAAGTTGTGATCTGCCCTTCCTCACCCACAGCATCATTCTAACCCTGTACACTTGCACAAACTCTTATTACCATTAAGTATCATTTATGAACTTTTGAGGATTTCAATTTTCTATTGATGAATAGATTAATGGAGTTTCCCGCCCCTCGTGGGACCAAGGCTTTGAAACAAGGCTGTAAATCATCTTCTGTTACAGGCTGCTCATCCACGCTGATTTATGCCTGATTCAGCTAAATCAGACAGAGCTGAACTGAATATTATTTATTTATATTAACAAATATCTTAAGCTACTTCTTTATCACAACGTACCATATTTGAAATACACGCTTTTTTTTAATGAATTAACATTACATATTACCTTGAATTAAAAAGCATAAACACAAGACATCCCATTTACAGAGACAAAACAAAGTGACAAGAAGCTGGAAGTATGTTTCGCTTTATTGCATTGATTCATTAATTCTCAACGTTGAAAAATGTGCTAATAAATGTTTTCTCCTCTATTTGATACACACAGACTCCACTTCCTTTGGTCCCGGTCTGAACTCTTTCTGCCTGGTTTGTTATATTGGAAAAATACCTGATGGGATGAACAGCGTCTGCCCTTGCTTCAGAGTGCATTTGTAACACTTGTCCACCTGGTCGGCAAAGAACATCTCGCTGTGATTGGACGACGACCTCCAGCGCTCGTACAGAGACAGGTTGGCAGAGGTGGGCTTGATGAGAAAGAAGATCTTCTCCCCCTGCAAACACAATCACATGTTCTAGCACCATCACTATCGTATGAGAGATAAAGTTTGATGTTTCACAACAGGCGTGACGCTGGGAGTGACAGACCTTCAGGACGTGGTACCAGACGGAGGCGCCACCACACTCGATGTGGAAGTCTGTGTAGCTGTCTTTGACACAGATCAGACAGTATTTTGTGACTTTTGGCTTCCCAAGCAGAGCATCATCAGGCCAGTAGTTTTCTACCCAGGACAACTGACGTACAATGTGTGGACTTTCAACCATAGTATTCATCCTGACGCAGCAAAAGAGAAACGAGATGAGTACAAGGACTTTTTCACTTCATTTCAAAAATCAGGTAAAGAGCATGTTACCTTGTGTCAGAGAACTCCAAGTTGATGACATTCAACACTTTCTTTCTGTTTGTGCTGTAGTAAAAATCTACAAACTCTTTGAGCTTCATCTTGCTGTCGGTCTGTTTGGTGACGTCAACCACGTCCACACCCACATCTGGACCTGAGAAGAAAGGGGACAAAACATGATAAAAGCTGAAGAAAAATGTACCGCTACTGGCTAAACATCTTCTTCTGTCCATGTGTTACACGTGAACACAGAGGCAATGAAGACACATGTACCTACCCCCATTGAAAACGTTTATTTGATGCAGTATTTTTATTTACTTAATAAAACACAAACAGTTTGAAAGGATCACTTTGAATACAGACTGGGCGGCAGACCTAAATCCTTGGGTGGACATTTCATATGTGAGGGCATGCCCATGTGTAAACAAAATTGCTTAAAAATGAATCTTGCTGATTCATTACAAGCATATATCTGTATCTAATCGTATGAGCGTCTTGAATGTCACTGAGCTGAAAACAACATAGTTAAAGTGCATCTCAGAAACTAAACGACATTTCCCGGAGCATCACCGATATATTCTCTGTAAGGGGTTCCGGGAATTCTTTGGACAAACATGCTCTATTTTTGTACATTCTGGCCTCATTTACATGCAGAGAACATACTCAAACATTGAAAAATGTCAATGTGTAACATTACCGCAAACGCATGTGAATTTTGAAGATTAAATATAAATTGAATGAATGTTCATGCTCTGCCATAGCTCCTCTTCTGACACACACACATACACAGACAGACACACACACACAGTCACACACACACAGACACACACACACACACAAACACACCTCCGTTTATTCTGACAGGCTGTTAGGTGGCGACTATCTCACACACGTTTATTTTCACTAAATATGTTACAGACCTCACGTTCTTTTGGTATGCATCCATTGCATACCGCTGATTTCTCCTGGGAGGGCCCAAACTCTACTATTACTGCATTCAATATACAGCAGTAATAGTAGTGATGATAGAACTCATTGAAGTTGTACTGCAGTAGGCTGGTTGTAGTACTAGTACACAAGTAATGCTTGTAGTAATAGCACATGTTGTAGTTGCAGTACTACAGTATTTATAGTAACAGTAGTTAAGTCATTAGCTAACAGAAGTTAGCAGAGAGCAGTACTGCAGTAGTTATAGTAACAGTAGTTAAGTCATTAGCTAACAGAAGTTAGCAGAGAGCAGTACTGCAGTAGCTGCTCAGATTCTTACCAACGTAGTTCTCCACATCACTGATGTAGAAGGTGGGGGGGGGCACGTTCAGGCCCAGACCCTCCTTCTTCAGAACCAGGAGGGGCTCGTTGAAGCCCCCGTCCTCAAGGTAATCCATGGTCAGCTGACCGCCGCTCAGCTTCACCACAACATCATCAGCACTGACACACACACACACAACAATTTGAAGGCAGAATTTGAAAAGTTATTTGATACTGCCCCCTAGTGGTCTTATTGTTAAGTGAGGAATACATTGGGAGATTGACAACTCTTTAGAGTCACTAATGACATTTCAAGAAGCCTAATCAACATTGACAGTTAAATAGAGTGTATTAAATGGGGAATCTGATTCTGATTATACAGAACGTTTCCCACTTCATCTCACAGGACTCCTCTGTTTGTAGTTCAGTAATGAGACATGAGGACAGCAGGATGTGTGTCATGTCTTTACCTTGGAAAGGTCCTGCTGCGCAGCTCCTTTATGAAAACCTGGCTGCCGTTCTGAACAGCTTTGATATCTGTGCTTTGTCCTGTGTCATGTTTGCTCCAGTTCTTTTTCTTTTTCACTGAAAAACAGAAAAACAAATGACATTCAAGAACAGTAACAATGCAGAACAACACAGCAAGACATGACCTGGGGCCTCATTTATAAACGGTGCGTACGCTCAAAAGATGGCGTACGCCAACAAACTTGACGGGAAAATGTGCGGTCCTCCACGCAAACTCTGACCCATGCGTACGCACTAAGCACAAAAACGGGAGAGACGAGAAACTGCGACACCGTTGGCAGAAGGAAGAATGGAGAGAAATATGTGGAAATAATACCATAAATATAATGTTACCTCTCATTTATCATATATTAAGAATTAATTCGCAAAAACTGATTGAAGTCAATCTTAAAATGATTAAACAAACCCGTTTGAGACTCCTCAGTGCACACAAAAACATAACTTGGAGAAATAAATATATACAGATATGTTATTTAAAACCACCTCGAATATGTTGTGTTAATGTTATGAAATGTTTTCTCATAAATGATGCGGTAAGCAGGAGGACAGAATTACGTCTAAACTGACGCCGTTTTGCATTTCTATAGGTTGTAGATACGAGCATGGTTTTATATACTATCACGTTTAATCATGTTTTATGCCGTTTGCTAAAACGCAGGAGGTATGGAAACTAAGAACACCATATATTTGGCAGCTGATATTACACAACATTTTGTTTTATTTCATTTAAGTGGTGGATATAGAGTTGCTGCGGGGGGTTGAGATGCACAGGCTGCAGTGGAGACGCTGCGCACAGCTGATCGACAGCTGATTGACAGCTGGAACACAAACCACCAAATAAAAAAATAAACATGAATTGACTCTACTCCGCAGGGATCCCCCGATACTTTCTTACAGTTGCTCATCATGGGGGGGGGGGTCTCCTGTCCCCGGTACAAACACACTGACACACTGCCTGAGGAAGGTTATGTGTATTTTGTCATGAACTTTTTTCAGACCACTTATTTATTTATGTTGGTGACGATCCGACCTCCATGCTGCTACTCTGGTTCAAACTGCATCCACCAAACAATATGATTTATCTCGACCTCCCCAAAATAACCAAAATCTGACACGGTGTGAGATGTCTTTTTTAGCTGTTCTGTCGTCATTTCCTGCGATCTTCTTCATGCAGTCAGTCAAAATGAATATTAATACGGGGCGTTTCTTTGACTATTTATAGGAAAATATGGGCGTTACGTGAAGCCCGCAAAAGCTGCGCCACATTTCGAGTTGATTGTGATTTATAAAGGCAACACGCAGTGTTTTATAAATCGGAAAATGTCTGTGCGTATTTATTTGCTTTGTCCTACGTAAGCAACCTTCCCACGTGAATCCTACGCAAGGCTTTATAAATGAGGCCCCTGAACACATCATTTTATTTAATATTAAGACATTTAATAATGTTTTTCTTAGAAACACAGTTTGATTTGGAGGGGAACTCTGAGCTAGTTAGCACTACTTGCTACTTACAGGTGGATTTGCCGTGGTTCTTCTCACAGTTTGGACAGTGATATATGTCAATATCTGGAGCGTCATCTTCATCCACCTCAACACAGCTGAAACAGAAGCATGGTTTAAAGGTTAGGAATGTGAGCATAAAGAGCGTTCTGCAGAGCATGTGGACGCTGCTGGGCTCTGAGGTCTCTGCCTGCTGTCATGGTGACAGCATGCATGTTTCAGTTGTCACCATTATTTTAATGATCAAAACATCTCTGGGCTGTGAAAACTGAGTAGCCAATGGGGACACACCCTGAAAGTCCCGCCCACCTGAGAGGTTTGTGTCAGAATCGCAAACAAAAAATGACCGAGCCCAAAGAGAGAGCTGCAGCGTAACCGCAGAGCCCCCATAGAGAGCAAACGTCTGATCATTGAGAAAGAAGCAAAGGCAACTGCAAACAATAAGAGATGTTAGAAAAATAAAAAATACTTAACATGATTACACAAATTATATACTTATACTTTTGAGATTACATTATCTTTGCTTGAATAAAAAAAAAAAAAGGTTATCAAACTCTTATTTTGCTTGATACTGAGAAAGACACGCACTGCTGGCGGCCTTAAGCACATTATGCAAAATGCACTTTTTGATGTCTTTTATACATAAATATGTGTCCCCGATGTGTAAGGAGACTTCACAAAGTTTCAGAAAATACAACCCTCTCTCTTTTCCTTCTTACCCACATCTCTAAAAAAAACTAAAAAACGGGGGTGCAAACGAGCAGATCCAGTATTTTTCTCCTCTGACGTCAATGGCGAAATGTGGCACACGTGATATGTCCCAACCTATCATCTCCTTATACAGTGGTCTAGCTGAATCCCCTCCCCCAGCTGTGTGTCTATGTATTCAGCAGGATGTCTGCAGGAGGGACTTAGAGTAAAGTTGTTATATATAATACATATAATGGCACTGTTCTAGCGGTAAACACTTAAGAAAGAACATGTCAGATAAAATGACGTAGAAAAGATCGCTTTTGCCAGTTATGTGCTAAAGTAGCCATTAGCCCCGTTAGCCCGTTTCGCTAAGTGTTGATTTTAGACTCTTGGTGTTGGACTTCAGTTCCGTGTAGGTAAAATGGTTAATATCGTCTGTTAGCTGAGTTTCTTCCCGTTAAGTGGGTATGCATCATTAATAGGTTGTTAAATGTTAAGAAGCCTTGAGACGCTGTTTCTTGCAAGATGTTGTGTCTGCCCCCGGGAGTCTCACAATAATAAGAGCGCTGTTAGGAGAGATGACGAGTGGCATTCACAGTGGCGAATCAGAGTGGTACTCAAACCGGATATGTCACACGGGATGAGGGTTCCCAACCAACCAGAATTGTTTAAACTAAGGAAGTAGCGTAATTCATATACCGATGGCAGCACCATTTGTCCAGCGGCTTAACGGTATACCAATACCGTCCATTCGGCTACGATACTGACTTAGTACCGGTTCTCGATACCCATCCCTAGGTCTCACTAAAACATCTATTAGAAAGCTGCAGCTAATTCAGAACGAGTCCTCATTAACACTAAGAAAGTGGATCACATCACTCCTGTTCTGAAGTCTTTACACTGGCTTCCGGTGTGTCAAAGAATAGATTTAAAAAATACTGCTGCTGGTTTATAAAGCTTTGAATGGTTTAGGCCCAAAATACATTTCTGACCACCTGCTAAATTATGAACCATCCAGAACTCTCAGGTCTTCAGGGACTGGTCAGCTTTCTGTCCCCAGAGTCTAAAACATGGAGAAGCAGCGTTCAGTTATTATGCTCCAAATATCTGGAACAAACTCCCAGAAACCTGCAGGTCCGCTGCAACTCTTACTACTTTTAAATCCAGGCTGAAGACTTTTCTTTTTGTCGCTGCTTTTAATTGAACTATTCACATCTTAAACTGCACTGTAACTTTTATTCATGTATTTTTTCTTTTAATGTTTATTTTTTATCTTTGCTTTTTAATGACTGTTTTTAAATGCCATTTTCTTAATGTCTTTCATTTTTGTAAAGCACTTTGAATTGCCTTGTGTTGAAAGGTGCTATATAAATAAACTTTGCCTTTGCTTATGAAACTTTGTTTAACATCTTAACATTCTGGATTTCTCTTGCATGTTCCTGTACATCACGATCCTCCATAAACTGAGCTGTGATCTCCTCCACAATCTAACCCACATTTTCCAAAAGCATGATTTCATCCACATCTGGAACATCTTTCTTTTCCTTTAAACTGATAAGCTATTCTTAAAATGTATGAACGAACAATAGATTAATATTTATTTGAGTGCACATAAGAAATAAAAAGAATTGAGAGAAGAAAAAGAGATATGTTATCTAACAAAACCCAGTTTGATTAACATTCCCTGGATTGCACACTTTGTTTGTGTGTGTGGATATGTACAAAAAAGCTGTTCCTGCATTAAATCCGTCTCTCTTTAATTTGATTGTGTTCATAATAGAAATGAATTGGAGATCATGAGAAATGTTTCCTATAAATGAACACAATGTTTGTCCACTTGATATATCACATATTTTTGACTAGATTATACATTAATAAATAAAATAACAGTATAAACTGAGGAGTGATTCCCTTTAATCTGTTATCTTGCGCTTAAGACCTTCCTTTTTGATAAAGCTTATAGTTAGGGCTGATTAGATTCAGACCCTAGTTTTGCTGCTATAGGCTTAGTTTGTCAGGGGACACCTTGCTTCTTCCTTCTCTCTGTCTGTACCTGTGTACTCTCATGTTCCCAATAACCCAGCTTCCCCCAAATTTCTTTTTGGTGTCTATATACGCCGGGATCCTGAGTCGTGGCTGATCCTGTTTCTGTGGTCCTGTGTCCTGGATCTTGAGTCGTGGCTGTGCCTGTTGCTGTGGTCCTGGATCCTGAGTCCTGGATCCTGAGTCCTGGATCCTGCATCCTGAGTCCTGGATCCTGAGTCCTGGATCCTGTATCCTGAGTCCTGGATCCTGCATCCTGAGTCCTGGATCCTGAGTCCTGGATCCTGAATCCTGCATCCTGAGTCCTGGATCCTGCATCCTGAGTCCTGGACTTCGAGTCGTGGCTGAACCTGTCTCTGCGGTCCTGCCTGACTCTCATCATACTACTTCCCTGATGGCTCCCACAGGATTGTTGACATCCTCGTGGATTCATCTTCTTATTATAGACACATGCATTTCCAAACATTTGGACTACCTATGTTGTAAATGTATTATCTTTTCAATTTACACACGGCATCTATTGCACGTGTGTCCGTCCTGGGAGAGGGATCCTCCTCTGTTGCTCTCTCTGAGGTTTCTCACATGTTCCCCATTAAACTGTGGGGTTTCTCTGGAAGTGTTTCCTTGTACGATGTGAGGGTCTAAGGACAGAGGGTGTCGTATTGTCATACTGATATTCTGTACAAACTGTGAAGTCCACTGAGACAAATGTAACATTTGTGATATTGGGCTATATAAATAAACATTGATTGATTGATTGATCTTCACTCCGCCGTTAGACTGCTCTCATGTTAAGAAGCATCAGATCAGTGATGCTCTGCAGCGTCCAATCAGTGACGGATACAAATAAAGGGGGCGTGTCAAGTAACAGTGTCCAATCAGTGACTTGTAAACAGTAAGGGGTCGGAGCGAGTGGCTGAGGATTTCACCGAAGGGGGTTCTGGAATTTTCTAATCGAAAATGATAAAAGTAGGGTAGACATGTGGAGATTATCCGGCTGAACAAAACGTGCATTTATCAAACAGGTTCGTTTTCCACAGATCTTATTTTTTACAATATTCCAAAATCCTATGGAGAAATCCCATTGCTTTTTGGTCGAAAACCCATGCGCAGCTTACTTCCGGGTCGGCCTACAAAAATACGTAATCACTGCATCACTCAATATGGAGGACCAACTCTGTGGTCACACCTGTGATGCAGTCAGCAGAGTTACGCTAATGCTGAAGTGGGTGTGGTTCAATGGCACACCCTCGTGGGGTCTCATGTGATTGGCTTAAAATGAAGCAGACATCTGATTGGCTACAGACACTTCCCTCTATTAAAAAAAAGCATTTGTGAATTTAGAGTCGTCAGGTGAGTCTCAAAAATCCACAAATGCAGAGATTCACACACACAAAGCTTTTTTACGCAAATTACATTTGTGAATCCTTCTGTGTGCCTTTATTTATTTTGATACTGATCTGACACCATATTTATAGGGGGTCCAAAAAGGGCACACTAGTTAACAAATAAAACCCAACTTTTTAATGTGAACCACCACTTACATTCATATTCATAATTCACCTCAAATTAATTGCATACAGTTTAATTTTCTGTTAAAATTAATCAATGTTAATCGCTGCATTATTTTTGTACAATTTCAGATGTGCAAATTCCCTTGGTCTCCCCGACTGTAACTGTAGCACTGCAACCTCCTGCTGTGACACAGACAGGGTCCACCTAAACAGTCTTTGGGTCCAACATACAGTACATCGTGCAGCAAGTACAATGAGCCAGCTGCCCGCATCACTGCTCAGAAAAGTAGAGGAAAAAAATCCATTCAAATTCCAATCCGTTGCTCTTTTTCCTTTCTATTGTATAAGTGCGATTCTTTTTTTTTTATTGTAATTTTTTTTTAACAAATTGTTGGGAAAATACTGAATGTACTCTCGCACATGATAACAAAGGCCCTACATAGCTGTGTACGTAACAGGATGTATGATTATTTAGAAGAGCGTCAGTACTGTTTTAGGCATATGATAGCTATGTGATTAACATGATGATTCAGCCTCTATGGAGATAGGCATATGATTGTCATGTTTATTGCTTACGCAGGCCTTAGATAATCTGAACTAAACGTTGAATACTGCTTTGAACCGGTATTCTGCATATTGTGACTGTAACAGCCTCTCTTGTATTTAAGGCATGTGAAGGACACTGTTCTGAGAACTATTTATCCCACGCAGCCCTGTGTGTGATGACTACTTCCATTCTTGCAAGGATAATAAATACATGTATCCTGATATTGAAGACCAAGCAGGTGACGAGTGATATTTTCCTAACACAAATCAATACATTTCTGTTTGTGCACATGTAACCCAGG